GGTGGCCTGATCCTCAGCTCCCCACCTGAAGTTCAATGTGGCGCTCCACCTAGGGTCTACTAGCCCCAACAACATCCAGTTCTGCCAATGCCTTTGGGCAGGGAAAGATGGAAGCCAGGGCACATCTGTTTTTAAATTGTTATTCCTCATGGTCACCATCATTCTTGATATAACTCAATCCTGAATTTCATAACTTTCTCCCCAGTGGGCAAGAGCCAGTTTTGGAGTTGCCTTCCTTGCAGGGAAGTGTTTTCTTCTATCTTCCTCTCCATCACAGTCATTTAACTTTAAAATAAAAACTGATTTAATGTTTTAAAGATTTTCCTTTAAGACTATTTTTAACATCTACCTTGGGTAAAATTAACTATTTCTTTCTCCATGTCCACTTGGACCTTTTTCATAGCCATTGTTACCTGTCTTTTGCTAGTTGCCTCCTCTCTGTCCCCTAACATGAGGGAAGCTGTTTTAGTCTCTGTCCTCTGAGCCCAGCACAGTGCTGGGTTTAGTGAAGGTGCTGATGGAGCCTTTGTAAAGTGAATCAGCATGACTTCTCTAGGCCACTCAGACAAGAGCCCCAGGCACTGAATTTGTTCCTCCTAGGTTCTTTTCTGCTTGTGGAATCACTGTGGCTTCAAGACTTCCCAGTGACTCAGAATTACTGTCAATTGGGTATAATGTCTGTGCACTGAAAGGAATGGAAAACTAAGTGCATAGCTATAGCTGGTGGGAATAATTATCTAAAGTCAGGAGAAATCCAACTAGTCTAAACACACACTCCTGCTCTGCACCGCCATCTAGTGTCCAGCAGAACAAACAGCGTTCATATTGTAAATGCCTGGGATTGTGAGAGGGAAGATGTGAAGTCCACCCAGGTTATATCTGCAGGGGTGAAAATACCTCCATCGAAAATGTAGTAAATAGATTAGCAAGAAGTTAATAGTCTAACAAAATAAGTGGTGTATTTTAATTTTATTCACTGCATAAATAGAAATACAAGTCTTATCCAGTAAGTCTTTGGTTCACTTAGTATTTTAACACATTTGTGTGTATGGGTGTGTATGGATGTGTGTGTAGGGTATCTCAACCATAGTCAGTCTGCAACGATGTCTCAGAGAAGTCTCTCAATCCCCATTTCTTTATTGGTGACCGTGGCGGTGACTGTAAATGGTAGCTGTCATGTCGGATGTAGGTAACTGAAATGAAAACATTTGCATATAATGCCTGGTGCAACTGAAAGTGTTAAAAGAATTTATCTTTATTAGTATTACATACAGAAATGTGCCATTAGTTGTATACAAGAGTCTGTGTACAATATTTTAAAATAATTTTGCTTTATTTTCTATGTATGTACTTATACTTAAAATATGCTAGGTATTAACTGTTCTAGGAACTATGTAATTATTAGCTCACTAATTTTCATTACAACCTGTGAAACAGGTAGCAGTATTATTGCCATTTTACTTATGTAGATTTTCAACACATGAAGTAGTGGATATCATACATATAACATATGTAAATAAATATTTTCAGAGGCCTTGCCAATTTTTAGGGGATTTGACATTTAAAATTTTGAGAATCATGATCTTTAAAAAATTTTGTACTGAGGATTAAATGAAGGGGTGTTTTAACACTGAACTGCATCCTCAGCCCTTTTTAACATTTTTCAAAATTTTGAGACAGGCACTCACTAAATTTCTAAGGTTATCCTTGAACTTGCAATCCTTCTGCCTCAGCCTCTATAGTTGCCAGGATCATGGACATGTACCCCAGACTTCCATTGAGAATCACTGGTCTAAACTATGCTTCTGTATCTTATTTTCCCAACTGGATTGGAAAATACTAGAAAGAAAATGTTTAACCGGTACATTGACATTTTTGCTTTCTTACTCTTCTGTTCTCAATGGCTGTGTTTTCCCCATCACACTGTAGGATGGTTAATGCTTGTCTGTGCCAGTCCCTTCAGGCATGCATCCTTGAAAGGAGAGAAATACTTGGTTGATCTTGACTTCTATTCACTCTTGATATGCTGTGCTTAAACAAGAGTTCACTCAGTATGTGAAATGCTAATGCACCAGCAGACCAATGGACACGGTTAAAATAATATTGTCCTAACAAATCTTGCAATATATATATGTCCATGTTTTCTGCAAGATAATAATTATATGAAATTATGTACTTTGATTTAGGTTATTGTTTATATATTATATGTGTATATCTTATATAAATGTTATATATTATATGTGTTATGTTTGCATCTTGTGCCAGATAATTGACCTCATTTTAGGCCTAGATTGAGAGGGTATAAAAATGTATATTCTCATGATTGACAAATCCTTATCTTTTGAGGGTAGATTTGACTTGGAAAAAAATTGAAGCATAAGGTGGCTAGTGATGATTTTGTTTCCCATGTCACACAGTTCCAATGGCAATTTCAAAATGTTAGGTAACTGCACTTTGCAATGTATTGCTCCTTTTGTAATACTTTCTATGTCTTTATTAAGTGCTTTACCACTGTGTTATCTGTCATTTTCCCCAGTACATTTGGAGGGTGGGCCATGGAGTTAAAATGAAGTAGTTTTCTTCTCTGCCCTTCAGGTGCTTATTGGCTGGTGGTGAAAACACTTCTGGTCAAGTTCAATCCTAATTGTTGCCCACTTGCCTGCAAAGACTGAAAATAAAACAGGAAAATTTTGCCATTATCTATAACCATGCTTTGTAAAACTAAAGCAAGGGAATAGACCAGCACACTTACAATTTATTTGGGCTCCTAATAACCCTCCCTGAATATTTTTTCTTGAGCCACCCATATTCTCGGTCTCATGGTAGATTGCAGCACCATCCCAAGGCAGGCAGCTGTTATTAGCCTCCTCCCATGATGCGTTAGGAAAAGCAGGTTTTAATCACTCAAAGTTGTGGCTCTCACAGAATCTATTAATGTCAGTTAACTACCTTCAAAGGCCGACAGGATCCTGCTCTGGCATGCTGGAAAGAAGAAAGTGAAAGAAAAGCCAGCATCAGCCCTGTTCCTTCCACCTGTCCCAACTACTCGCACTATCCTTTGAGTGTATCTTGCTGTTGGTTTTCTCTCCCCAGCTCCTTGACAGCCTTTTGGCATTTGCATCTCTACTGGACAAAACATTATTAATTTAGTAATTGTCTAAACGTAAACATCAAATTTTACATATTGTGAGCCCAATCAAAACTAGATCCTAAAATCAAGGTTAGCTTCACCTCCAGCTGTACTTATTGTCCAACATGGTAATTACTAGCCACACGTGGTCACTGGACACTTGGGATGTGGCTAGTATATGAGTATGATAAAGGTACTTCAATTGTTTGTACACTTTCAAGACTTTCAGGCTAAAGTGGTTTTCTACTGCAGCCCTTCATCCATCCCTAATCTCATTAGGCTGTTAATTCCCAGAGGACAGGAGCAGTAGTAGAAGTAGCAGACACTGCCAATGTTAAGCAAATGTAATTCAATGATACCACTGGTCATTTTTTGCTTAAAAAACATGTTTCGTTTTTCACATGTCACTGAATTCAATTTGTATGACCCCTTTGACTTTACCACAATCTAAGGGTGACATCTTTAACACATATTTTCATGTAGTCATTTGATTAGACAGGAATTTTTGGTGAATTGTAATGCTTCCTTTTGTCCTCAAGTGTAAATTCACAGTTATTTTAAACATATAATCAGATAGTTTATTTTGCCTGTTATCTCGAGGATAAAAATTGCTATCACTTGGAGGCAAAAGGTGAAATATGCTTTGCTTAAACTAGCAAAGCAAACTTTAAAATAGAACTGGCCAGTTTTAGAGGGAGTGTTGGGAGGCGATAGTGAACTCACCAACAACAGAAGGTATAATAATTTATATATTCTGATAGTTTTTCTTTCTGATTAAAATTTTGCTACCTTTTTTTTTTTTTACTTTAAATCAACAATTCACCTAAGTCAAAAGTGTGTTTTATTAAAGTTAATTGTATCTTATAGTTTCTGACTATAGAGAGTTCTTCTGAATCATGAATAAGATATTTATACTGGAAGTAACCTCATTTTTCATGGGCTGAAATTAATCCCTGTAATGCAGCAAAGGAAATAAATATATAAATAAATGCTTGTTTTCTTTGAGAACATCATCTCAATGTCTCTAAGTCTGTGGGGGTTCTTTGCGGCCTTAAGGGCCTCCTTTCCTTCGGTATTATCTCTATTCTTGAGGGCCAGACCCCCTGCTTTGCACAACTCAGAGGGGAAGTGGAGAGCTTTTTAAACAGCCCAATTTCTTGCCTTTGGAGAAGAGAAAAGAGTGCCCCGCCCCCATCTATGAAAAGAGGGATTTGGTAGTTTCACCGTCCTTAAGTCAAAGATTTAAGCCCCTATCCTCTCACCACTCAGGACCCCCCCCAGAGTTTATGGACCCCATCCCACCCTGCCCGAGCTACTCTGGACCGGCTCAGGAAACCCATGTCCCAGTCCCAGTTACCCTGGGTCTGCATGCAGAATTCACAGAGGACCTGTGTTACTTCCCTTGCGAAGAAACAAAATTATAGTGAAAATCTAGGTGGAAATCATTTCATTTTTGTTCCCCAAATAAGGGAAGCATGTGCTCAATCATCCCTGAGAAGAAGAACTTTCAGGGATAAAAGAGCGACCAGGTAATTTAGAAGAAAAACAGAAAGTGATCTCTGAGTGCCCTGGACTTCCTTTGGAGTTGGGGGAGTTGGGGGCTCTTAGACGCGTTGTCTTTGGGTCTGTAGAAAAAACAGCTGGAGATCAGGAAGCCTGAGGCTTCTAGGATCCTTTCCTGATCAAGTCCGAGAGATTTGGTGCGGGGTATTTTGATATTTTTTCCTTTTTGTGAGGTGGAACAAACACAACTCGGGCGCAGCGCGGCTGTTCCGAGCCTGCCAGCCGCGGGCGCCCGGCGCACCAATCAGCGCGCGCCTGCGCTCTATATATACGGCGGCGCGGCGCGGCGCTGCATCGGCGCACTGTTACTCGCACCCGAGTCCCAGGCCCTCAGCATGTCGGAGACCGCTCCCGCCGCTCCTGCCGCCGCGCCCCCGGCGGAGAAGACCCCCGTGAAGAAGAAGGCTGCCAAGAAGCCTGCGGGGGCGCGCCGCAAGGCGTCCGGGCCCCCGGTGTCCGAGCTCATCACCAAGGCCGTCGCCGCCTCCAAGGAGCGCAGCGGCGTGTCCCTGGCAGCGCTCAAGAAGGCGCTGGCGGCCGCCGGCTACGACGTGGAGAAGAACAACAGCCGCATCAAGCTGGGCCTCAAGAGCCTGGTGAGCAAGGGCACCCTGGTGCAGACCAAGGGCACCGGCGCCTCCGGCTCCTTCAAGCTCAACAAGAAGGCGGCCTCCGGGGAAGCCAAGCCCAAGGCCAAGAAGGCAGGGGCGGCCAAGGCTAAGAAGCCCGCCGGCGCGGCCAAGAAGCCCAAGAAGGCGACGGGCGCCGCCACCCCTAAGAAGGCCGCGAAGAAGACCCCGAAAAAGGCCAAGAAGCCGGCTGCAGCTGCAGGGGCCAAGAAGGTGGCCAAGAGTCCTAAGAAGCCCAAGGTGGCCAAGCCCAAGAAGGCCAAGAGCGCTTCCAAGGCCGTGAAGCCCAAGGCCGCCAAGCCCAAGGTTGCCAAGCCCAAGAAGGCGGCTCCCCGGAAGAAGTAGAGTGTCATGGTCTCCCTCTCGAACCCAAAAGGCTCTTTTCAGAGCCACCACGGATCTCAGAAAAAGAGCTCGACGCTGTAGGTCCTTATCCCCWCGACGGCCGGACTCGCGTGTGTCCGGGCCGCGTCGGGCCTTCTCCCCACGGGCTTGGCAGTTGGTGGGCCGCGGGAGCTGCCCCCGGCGGCCGTCAGCGGGGCTCCTGGCCTGGCCTGGCCTGCGGTCCAGGGTCGCTTCTCGCGGCAGAAGCACCCGGGACAGCCGCCAGCCCCGCCCCAGGGCGGAGCAGCCCTGCGACCGCGAAGGGGACGAGCCCGTGTTTACGGTCGGCCGGGATTGGAGTGCCCCGCGGTTCGAAAGTCCCGCGCTGCTCTGGGTTGGCCCGCCCGCGCCCGCCCGCATCCTGCGTGTAATTGGCGGCAGCCGAGCCCTTCCGGCTTTCCGTAGGGTAGGGGGTTCCCTCTCCGCGCACCGTCCGGGTCGAGCGGCGCTTTCCTTGCCTGGAGCCCGGCGGCGTTGACTGGGGACTTGGTGGCACCGGACCTGGCGGAGGGTGGGTCCGCCTCTGCCTGCTTCCCCTGCTCGGAGGCCTTCGGAGGGCGCAGCCGCCTCCGGTCCCGCCCAGGCTGCTCCGAGGTCGTCGTCCCTTCCGCGCTGGTCCGGATGGGTGTGGTGGTGCAGGCTTTGAAAACAACTTGGCCWTTTTGTCCGGCGGATCCGCAATTTCAGATGAACTATAATCAAACTTGCTTTAAAAGGCTTTTTGGTTTCGTCCAGGTTTTCTACTTGTGAACTGTCCGGTGTGTACGATGGGACGCATGTTTCTAACTAATAAAGCCTTTAACTTTCATGAGCGGTCTTGGTCCTTCCCTAAGCGGCCTTTCCCTTGGGTACAGATACGCTGGCTCCTGCTTTTTCGTATAGCGTTGGGGCCTCCGGAGACCTGCTGCTGTTTTTCCACCATTTCCACTAGGTGAATCCACTGTGAGTTAATTCACGGGGGGAGTTTATCACCTAGAAGGGAGGAAGGGAGGGATGCAAGAAAGGTCTCCCACTGGTTCTTCAGTAAGTTTGTATTGTCAATTTTACAGTAACAGGAGTGACTTACTGTTAAGTAAATCCCCTTTACCAAATGCCAAATTCCACAGATATGTGGGCTAAATTTCCGGATTATATTTAGTTCCTTTGTTCTTTATGGTCAATTCTGAGGTTAGGATCATTGTTTTAAGTGCTCTCAGCACTATCTTCAATGCCAACAATACCTAAAACATAGGTACTTAAATAATATTGAGAATACTGTGACTTTAATAGGACTTTCATTGCTTATTTTTTTAGAATTGTTTATTTTTGGCTTATTTTATTTTTATGTGTGTCCTTTAAGATGCTCTCCAACTCCATCACCCCGCACCCAGTCACTCAAAAAAAAAAAAAAGTTTTACTGGTATTGTGCTAAAATTATAAATTATAAATGTATAGATATGAAGGTTTTGGGAATTTGTTTTGTACTGTCGAATTGAACCTATGGTCATTTTACCACTAAGCTACATCCTTTTTTTTTTTTTTCTGTTTTGAGACAGGGTCTCCTCAAGTTGATGAGGGTCTAGCTAGGTCAGTTAATAATGCTGGCTTGGAACCTGTGGTTCTCCCACCTCAGCCTCTTCATTTGGTGGGATTACAAGCATACCCAGGCCCCAGGCAGGAGTTTTATTATGCAAGAAATTTCTTGTTTTTCTGTCCAAGTATTTTTGTTTTCTACTCAATTTAAAATTTTCTCCATCTTATTGCCTTTGATATTTATTTTCTTTCTTGCTGTTCAAAATAGCACCCTATAATATTTTAGTTTTTTTGAGAGTATCTCAAAGTGTACACTGAAGCCACTTGGTTATTGAAATTGATGCACAAGTGAATTAACAATTTGTAGATCAGTTTTATCCATTGCTAAATAAGGTGAATATAAGTGTCAGCCACACAATAATTTTAAACCTCCTAGAAGCAACTAAAAAAAAAAAAAAAAAAAAACCCAAACAATCAATTTTAATTATATTCTTAATTTACTTCAACATATCCAAAACATTATCATCCAACAAAATATACAAATATGAGATATTCTACATTGCACCCCTCCCCCCTCTTTAAAATCTCATGTGTATTTTACATTTACAACACAGTTCATAGTAGCCCATTTCCAGGGCTCAGCCTTCTGTGCCTTGAGGACATATGAACAGTGCAACTCTAGAATCCTCTCTGGTCTCATCCTGGCCTACTGTGGTCTCATCTTTGGTTCAAATGATATATATATATATTTTTTTAATTTTTATTTTTAATATATCTTATGTTTACTAAAAACTTGAGGATAGATTATCTGACCTTAAACAACAGTAGTTGGTAGAGGCCATTGAACCAGTTTGAGCCAATCAAAACTTATTCAAAAACTGGAATTGAGTTATAGAAGCAGAGATGACCTGATGTCAGGGCATAGCAGGTGGCTTCCTCCACAATACAAAGAAAAAACCAAGGTATCCTTAGGGCAAAATGAGTAGAATAGAGCAAACCCTTCCAGAAAGGCATGGGTGAGAGCTGTGCCCTGGGTTCTTTAGGCCATCTGAACTTTTGCCTGGGGCCACCTCACTTTCAATTTGAATCAGGTTAACAACAACCTGGACACTTAATTAAGATACTCCAAATATGCCCACTACGGTTCCATATATTCAGGATGTTTAGGGTGTTCATTTCTGTGCCCCTTTCTTCTTTATTTGAAATGACCAATTTACTTGACTTTGGCACCTCCTCCAAGAAATAGGGGAGGAATCAACCCAAGCAAAAAAAGTGATTTTATATTTTTCCTTCAATGTTTTTTGGGATCTCAATATATTTGATTTTATATACTTACAAATGATTTTAATACTGAATATTCCCTGCAAAATTATTTCCATCAAAGATATTCTTTCAAACGTAATATTCCTTGTACTATAGTGAGCTAAAGTTTCATAAAAACCTGCCTTTACAGTCTTCAGTAATGTATTTCCTCAACTTGTCCATGTTCTTTAGTTTTGTCCATTCCCTTGCAGTTTTTCACATTGTTGTCTGGATAAGTTCTAATGAACCACTCTTTGGATCTTAAAATTGGCCATTCTAAGAAAAAAATCCTGGTCTTTTGATTTCGTTGATGAAACAGTCATGGAGGACAGCTTTTCCTCTACCCTGTTAGGTTCAGTAATTGAGGACCAGCAAATTTATCTGACAAAGGATAGATTAACAGGAGAATAAAAAAATCTATATAATTTTAATAGTATTTTACTTGCACAGAGTTCATAAAAAGGAAAAGAAAGCAGACAATGGAATGTATATAACATTGTAGCAAAGGAAAGGAAGCTTGGTCTTCAAGGCAGTGATACTTTTGAGGAAAATGAATAAGAAATATATGGGCAAAACTAAAGGAAGATAAGTGCTTCTTTAGGAAGATTTATTCTTCCAGACTCCTCTCAGTACCACCTCTTTACTTGAAGTAATACAGGTTGCTCTCCTGTTCCAGGCACAGGAGCAGGGAACACCTTTACAAGGAACATTAATGCAATCTTCACAGAGTGGAACTTATGACCTAATTTTAGTTAGGTAAGGAGAAAACAGGATGCTTCCTGCATCTGTTGATTTTCAATTTCTTTCAGCTCAAAGTAATACTTGTGACATTATGGCATATTTTGGGGTGACATTCTGATCCTCTTCAAAATCCATATTTGTCATTAATATTATCATTTCAGTTTTTCATCTAGTTTTATAAAATATTGGCAAGTGGCAATAATATATTCAAGTAATTCTCCCAAACACTGATAATTATGCCAAAATGACAATAAATGTTTCATAAACTAAGCTGCTGACCAACTCAACCATGAAAATTCAAGAAATTGTCTATGTATAATAGAAGAATAAATAACAGATGTTAGTTACAGGCTACTTGCAATGCATTATTCCAAACTTTCTTGCATAGTGATTTCATGGCTGAAAAAGTAAATTTCCTATTACTCCCAATGGGTAAAGCTCTAGGTTTTTGAGCTATGCCCTGAGGAAATGTAGAAAGTGGGTTGTTTGTGGTTGAAATCTGAACATGGCCATGAAAGGACTAGATCCTTAGAGGACTTAAGGGAACAGTGATTAAGGAAGCAGTGCCAAGGTCCTGGGAACTGGCTTTTGTAGTGTACTCACAGCATGCAAAGCACTTTGCTGATTACCTTGTTTGCAGAAATGCCCTTGTCTCAGCACTTTGAGGTAGGTACCATTATTCTCCCATTTTAGAGATGAAGAATGGAGACTTGGTAAATTTAAGGATTAAAACTAGTTAGTTATCTGTGAGTCAGTATAACTTCTACATACTAGCAATATTCCTCAGAAATATAATCCACATGGAACTAAAAATTTTCTAATGCCACATTAAAGTGAAAAACAAATGAAAACTAATATTATTTCAACAAGCAATTGAAAATATTCAGTTAAATATTTTTGGTGCTAGGTCATTGAAATTTGGGGGCAAATTTTTTGATAAAAAGATATTAAGAGTATGGGTTTGGTGTGAGACATGCTGGAAGTTATTTCTGCTAGAAATGTTAATTTGGCCAATTTAGCTAAATCTCTTAGGTTAAAATTCATTTTCTATAAAATGGGAGACATGGAATATTGCCTGGAAATGTCATAATAAGAACTGTGCATAATTCAGGCCAATAGCTCCACATATTACTAAACCCATGAAAAAATAGACTGACTGTAATGAATCCATTGTTTTATTGTCACTTTCTTCCATTAGTACCTCTTTAAAGTAAGATGATATTCAGTACTGAATGGATTTATAAAACCTTGTAAAGTTGAACCAGAGCACTTTAGTACTAAAAGTTTTCAATTTGCTTAAAGTCAGCATTACATCCTGCAAGGGATAAGTTGTCTCTTGGTAACTGAGAATGGCACTACCATCCAAATATCAGACTAAGCCAGGGCTGCATCTCAGATGCCTGAGAGTCATGCCACACCAAAGTATTCCAATCCAGAATACTTCTACAGGTTATATTAGCATAATGAAGATGCCAAGGAAGGCCAGGTAGGATTTGAAACAAC